TAGAGAAATACATATACCTATGGCAATTTACTATGCCTTTAGCTCTGGTTAGGTTATAGTGGTGGCCTTGTGACCAAAGTCAACTTGACTCAAATAATGACCCATTGTGATATCACAATTTAAAGGTTAGCATATGAACAACGCCGATAGACACGACTTCCTAATTCAGGTGAAAGTGAATTAGCCTAAAAAGAATATCTATAAACTTAGTCAAGCTTCTAGTTTTTTAAAATGACAGCTCCGCGAGGGTCATGAGAAAAATGGCTTCAAATATTTTAAATATTTTTCTAGCGCATGATGTATACTGCGATATGAGATTTGCCATAACCATAAGAAAAATCATTAAAGGGTACACTCAGTCGAATAGTATATTTTGTTGTTATTTCTGTAACCCGCAGGGAATTTTTGTGTAGTCCCTTTTGGATGTGGTTTACGGCACTTGGTCGTCAAACTCGAAGAATGGATTCGTTCTTGAAACCAGTATAGTATATTTGCGTGTTACGCATTGACCGATACATTTGATTTAAATCGGTTAGTACGTTTTTTGTTCAGTTTAGACAAGGTTGACCTTGAGATCTAACCAAAGGGGTTATCTGCTCATTTTAGTTTAGGTATGCTCAGATATTTTTGTTTGATTGCCAGCTTGGCGGTTGCAAGTAGGATACCAATAACTGGGAAATGAATGTAAGAGAGCAGAGTGCTTATCCTTGTAGTTGCCCAAAAAGTATCTGTACCCAGGTATCCAAGTGAGTTGGACACTGACATGCCTACCTAGCTAACTAAGTGAAGCTATGAATTTTCGAATTGTTGTTGAGCAGATTGGCTGTCCGAGCAGATTGCGACATATACGTTATGGTTATGGATATACGTTAAGGTAACTTGTAGGTTTTGATATTTCAATTATATTAATTTATGAAATACTGTATAATAATAACGAAATATATATAACATATATTCATATAGAATGTTAATAACGGGACATTTGTAGGAATATTTATACATATTTACATATTCAGATTTATAAATGTAAGGTGTTTCCTAACGAGTAGAGTATAAAAATAAGGTGATACTATCCTCTATGCCCTTTTAATATTTCGCTATTTTTTATATTAAGTGATAAATTTAATATTTTTATTAGAAGATAAGATTTGAATGTTAAGTATCCTTCATATAAATAAATAAAAAAATTATTTTAAATATTTTACTAGAAAAATAATAAATTCTCTAACATTCATACTTAACCTCCTGTTCTCTTCCACGATTATTAGTGTAGGCTTATGATTGCACTGACTTTTTCATATATTCTTGAACGCATATTGATTGCTCAGATAATCATCTAACATACGTAATTGCTTGCTTGTTATAATTTCTTCAAAATAAGAGTATCATTATTATACAGTACTTAAGTGCTTCCAAACAACACTATAAATTGTTAAATTCTAATTAGTGCTATATAAGAAGCAAATAAATTTTTATAGTCTCAAGTAAAATTAATATAATCGGGTATTAAATGGCAATAATGCATTGTATTCATACTTGACTTTCTGTTAAGTGGAGGTTCTTTAGTGAAGGTTCATACTATATTGACTTTAGATATTGATCATATATTGATGAGTGTATATTAATTGTCTGATAACCATTTAATTTACGATACTAACTGCTATCGTAACTAGTTCTAAGTTAGAGTATAGTTAATATACAGCACACAAATGCTTTAAAACTGCACTATAAATTTTTTAATATTAACTAATGCTATATAAGAACTTAACGAATCTTGAAACTGTCAAGAGAGATTAATATGGGTAAGAATAAAGAATATTTTTTACCTGTTTATTTCGTTTGTTTCTGTTCAAGACAGTAAATGATGATTAATACATGATAGTGTCAATAAATAATCGAAGCTGAAAGTTCTGAAAGGAAACAGAAAGTAAAGTGTGAATATAATAAAATTAGCAATCTTTCTAGTAAAATATTTATTACGTAAATTTGTTTTTAATAAATTATGTGAAGAATATCTTAAAGCAATGTTATATTATTACTCAATATGCACTGTTAAATTTATCATCTAATTTAAACTGAAAATAAGGAATTGGTTTAGTAAAAATTAAGTTGTTACTCGTTATTACAGTCAAGGATTTTTTCCGAAATTGATTCCATATAAAATTAAATATTTTTTGGATATTTTGTTATATTACATTTGAAATTGTATAATTGTATTTATACCCCATTTTTAATTATTTTTAATAATTTTAATAAATAAATAAAATATTAAAAAACTAAAAAAATGTTTGAAGTATTACTCGTTACAGTAGTAGAATTTTTTTTGTACGAGTATTTTCTATTATAATTTAAAGTTTAATTATAACTGTAAATTATTTTATTTTTATTTTCTTATTTTAATTTTATTTTTTTATTAAAGCTTGTCAATAAATTGTAAAACAGTATTAAAAAATAAAATGTTGGTTTCAGGGTCTGTCCCAAGTATAGGATGTTTGACCTTTACCAGTTTTCATACATTTTTTTTGTAATTCTCTTTGCCTTAGGACTTCGCACAACTGCGAGATTTGTTCCCATTATCTTATATATTGTCTTATAAAATATTTTCATTCTTATAATTTTTTGCATTTTTCTGCATAAGATATATTTCGTATATATTTTATATCTTATTTCATAAATATATAAACTTTTTTTCTATTTAAAGCAAAACTAAAAAATTATACTAACCATTTTTTTCTCTAAATTTCATTCTAACTTGTATCTCCTTCCTCTAGCAAAAAAGAAACATTACTGGTTGAAAGTTATAATATATTTTATGTTAAATAGACAGCTAGGATCTTGTTTTTAGGACTAATAAAAAATTTGCTTATGAAAAAATGTTTCATTTAAACATTGACATAGTTTTTTTATGTATTGGTTTTATAGCTACTTTTAGTGGTAGTGAACATTACTGTTTTAATATATTGTTTTAACATGTTAACATCTTTTTATAACAAGTTTTTTTAACAATCGCTTCTTATTACTCGTTGTTTTAGAAGTCTAATTTTTAAGTTTATTTTAAATTAATGGGCCGCGACTTTAACCCATCTACCTACATTTAAATTTTATTATATTTTTTTAATTTTATGTAGTTGTCTCGTGCTCTAGTGTAATTTTAGTAATTAATCATATAATCAAACTCTTCATTTTACAACTAATATTGCAACTTTTATTAATATTACAATAAAAGCTAACTAGTACTTGTTAAAATAATAATAAGTAGTTGCTATTATTATAGCAATAATAACTACTATTCTTATTATATAACTATGTAATAACTATAGATATAATTTATTAACTATTATAATTATAATAATAATAAGTTATAAATAATTAATTAATAATAAATTTATTTCATAAATAATAATAATAATGATTTTTTATTTACTAAATTTGTTATTAATAAATTATTTATAACTTATTATAATCATAATAGTTAGTAAATTATATCTATAGTTATTACACGTATATATAGTCATATAATAAGAATAGTAGTTATTCTGATTATAATAATAATGAATTGAAATCACCCATTTCATAAATTTAAAAAAAAAATTCCCTTGTAATGTAACTATAACTCTAATAATTAAAGATAATTACAAGAAAAAGCCTAAAAAAATACTTAAAAGAAAAAAAATTAATGGATAAATAAACAAAATAAATGAGAAATGAATCTATTCTCAGAAGTATACATCACTATAAAAAAAAACATTTCAGAAATGGACTTTTTCCACCAAAGAAGTTTTACTGGGTAAATGTACAGTTAATACAATAAATGTTAGTAAATAAACAAAATCGAGTTCGATGATTGCTCACGAAATCAATCTTTCTCTGTTTGTTTTTTGGTCAAGAGATAGTTTGGTAGTATCTTTCCTATTTCTATTGTGCTCCAAATCAATATTGTTGCTGATTAATTTGCTGCTTCTACAAACAAAGTAGAATGCGCGCGGAAACTTTAGCGGCGAGTAGTTACTGAACTGACATTATGACGAGTAAGTGCGTTCCTATACTCGTACAAACAAACTGCCGACCACTAGTTTTTATGCAAAGTTGTGTGCCGCCACATTGTTTTATTTATGTATTCAATTTTTTCATTTCATTTGTTCGCGCTTTAATGATGAGCTCTGACT